CCACTGTGTCGTATTGGCCACAGTCAGTTTACCCAGGACTATCTGCTGAATGTGGGTGTACACAACCACCCCTTTTACCACTGTGTCGTATTGGCCTCAGTCAGTTTACCCATGACTATCTGCTGAATGTGGGTGTACAAAACCACCCCTTTTACCACTGTGTCGTATTGGCCTCAGTCAGTTTACCCATGACTATCTGCTGAATGTGGGTGTACACAACCACCCCTTTTACCACTGTGTCGTATTGGCCACAGTCAGTTTACCCATGACTATCTGCTGAATGTGGGTGTACACAACCACCCCTTTACCACTGTGCCGTATTGGCCTCAGTCAGTTTACCCATGACTATCTGCTGAATGTGGGTGTTCACAACCACCCTATTACCACTGTGTCGTATTGGCCACAGTCAGGTTTACCCAGGACTATCTGCTGAATGTGGGTGTACACCACCACCCCTATTGCCACTGTGTCGTATTGGCCTCAGTCAGTTTACCCATGACTATCTGCTGAATGTGGGTGTACACAACCACCCCTATTACCACTGTGTCGTATTGGCCACAGTCAGGTTTACTCCATGACTATCTGCTGAATGTGGGTGTACACCACCACCCCTATTGCCCCTGTGTCGTATTGGCCACAGTCAGTTTACCCATGACTATCTGCTGAATGTGGGTGTACACCACCACCCCTATTACCACTGTGTCGTATTGGCCACAGTCAGTTTACCCATGACTATCTGCTGAATGTGGGTGTTCACAACCACCCCTATTACCACTGTGTCGTATTGGCCTCAGTCAGTTTACCCAGGACTATCTGCTGAATGTGGGTGTTCACAACCACCCCTATTACCACTGTGTCGTATTGGCCTCAGTCAGTTTACCCATGACTATCTGCTGAATGTGGGTGTTCAAAACCACCCTATTACCACTGTGTCGTATTGGCCACAGTCAGTTTACCCATGACTATCTGCTGAATGTGGGTGTTCACAACCAGCCCTATTACCACTGTGTCGTATTGGCCACAGTCAGTTTACCCATGACTATCTGCTGAATGTGGGTGTTCACAACCAGCCCTATTACCACTGTGTCGTATTGGCCACAGTCAGTTTACCCATGACTATCTGCTGAATGTGGGTGTACACAACCACCCCCTATTACCACTGTTTTCGTATTGGCCTCAGTCAGTTTACCCATGACTATCTGCTGAATGTGGGTGTACACAACCACCCCTATTACCACTGTGTCGTATTGGTACAGTCAGTTTACCCAGGACTATCTGCTGAATGTGGGTGTTCACAACCATCCCTATTACCACTGTGTCGTATTGGCCACAGTCAGTTTTACCCATGACCATCTGCTTGAATGTGGGTGTACACCACCACCCCTATTGCCCCTGTGTCGTATTGGCCACAGTCAGTTTGGCACCCATGACTATCTGCTGAATGTGGGTGTACACCACCACCCCTATTACCACTGTGTCGTATTGGCCACAGTCAGTTTACCCATGACTATCTGTTGAATGTGGGTGTTCACAACCACCCCTATTACCACTGTGTCGTATTGGCCTCAGTCAGTTTTACCCAGGACTATCTGCTGAATGTGGGTGTTCACAACCACCCCTATTACCACTGTGTCGTATTGGCCTCAGTCAGTTTGCCCATGACTATCTCTGCTGAATGTGGGTGTTCACAACCACCCTATTACCACTGTGTCGTATTGGCCACAGTCAGTTTACCCAGGACTATCTGCTGAATGTGGGTGTTCACAACCACCCCTATTACCACTGTGTCGTATTGGCTACAGTCAGTTTACCCAGGACTATCTGCTGAATGTGGGTGTACACGAACACCCTTATTACCACTGTGTCGTATTGGCTACAGTCAGTTTACCCATGACTATCTGCTGAATGTGGGTGTTCACAACCACCCCTATTACCACTGTGTCGTATTGGCCTCAGTCAGTTTACCCATGACTATCTGCTGAATGTGGGTGTACACAACCACCCCTTTTACCACTGTGTCGTATTGGCCACAGTCAGTTTACCCATGACTATCTGCTGAATGTGGGTGTACACAACCACCCCCTTTTACCACTGTGTCGTATTGGCCACAGTCAGTTTACTCCATGACTATCTGCTGAATGTGGGTGTACACAACCACCCCTTTTACCACTGTGTCGTATTGGCCACAGTCAGTTTTACCCATGACTATCTGCTGAATGTGGGTGTACACAACCACCCCTTTTACCACTGTGTCGTATTGGCCTCAGTCAGTTTTACCCATGACTATCTGTTGAATGTGGGTGTACACAACCACCCCTTTTACCACTGTGTCGTATTGGCCTCAGTCAGTTTACCCATGACTATCTGCTGAATGTGGGTGTACACAACCACCCTTTACCACTGTGTCGTATTGGCTACAGTCAGTTTACCCATGACTATCTGCTGAATGTGGGTGTACACAACCACCCCTATTACCACTGTGTCGTATTGGCCACAGTCAGTTTACCCATGACTATCTGTTGAATGTGGGTGTTCACAACCACACCCTATTACCACTGTGTCGTATTGGTACAGTCAGTTTACCCATGACTATCTGCTGAATGTGGGTGTTCACAACCACCCCTATTACCACTGTGTCGTATTGGCCTCAGTCAGTTTACCCAGGACTATCTGCTGAATGTGGGTGTTCACAACCACCCCTATTACCACTGTGTCGTATTGGCCTCAGTCAGTTTGCCCATGACTATCTGCTGAATGTGGGTGTTCACAACCACCCCTATTACCACTGCGTCGTATTGGCAACAGTCAGTTTACCCATGACTATCTGCTGAATGTGTGTGTTCACAACCACCCTATTACCACTGTGTCGTATTGGCCACAGTCAGTTTACCCAGGACTATCTGCTGAATGTGGGTGTACACGAACACCCTTATTACCACTGTGTCGTATTGGCTACAGTCAGTTTACCCATGACTATCTGCTGAATGTGGGTGTTCACAACCAGCCCTATTACCACTGTGTCGTATTGGCCTCAGTCAGTTTACCCATGACTATCTGCTGAATGTGGGTGTACACAACCACCCCCTTTACCACTGTGTCGTATTGGCCACAGTCAGTTTTACCCATGACTATCTGCTGAATGTGGGTGTACACAACCACCCCTATTACCACTGTGTCGTATTGGCCACAGTCAGGGTTTACCCATGACTATCTGCTGAATGTGGGTGTACACCACCATCCCTATTGCCACTGTGTCGTATTGGCCACAGTCAGTTTACCCATGACTATCTGCTGAATGTGGGTGTACACCACCACCCCTATTACCACTGTGTCGTATTGGCCTCAGTCAGTTTACCCAGGACTATCTGCTGAATGTGGGTGTACACAACCACCCCTTTTACCACTGTGTCGTATTGGCCACAGTCAGTTTACCCATGACTATCTGCTGAATGTGGGTGTACACAACCACCCCTTTTACCACTGTGTCGTATTGGCCTCAGTCAGTTTTTACCCATGACTATCTGCTGAATGTGGGTGTACACAACCACCCCTTTACCACTGTGTCGTATTGGCCACAGTCAGTTTACCCATGACTATCTGCTGAATGTGGGTGTTCACAACCACCCCTATTACCACTGTGTCGTATTGGCCTCAGTCAGTTTACCCATGACTATCTGCTGAATGTGGGTGTACACAACCACCCCTTTTACCACTGTGTCGTATTGGCTACAGTCAGTTTACCCAGGACTATCTGCTGAAAACGAATGTGGGTGGACCTCCCATGTGTGTCTCTTGCGATGAGAAACAACTGAAACAGCAACAACTCTTGTTCTATCCCTTGTCATGAGCAGACAGACTGCAACTGTCTGTTGGCTGGTGCAACCAAGTATCAGAAACGCTACAAAGAGAACAGAATGTAGCAGCCAACATTGTGACAAGATCCAGGAACAATGATCAAATCACTCCTCTTCTATACTTTCCACACCGGTGGTCTGTGGAGTTCAGAATTGAGTTTCAACTTCTCTGCCTTGTCCTCCGCTGTCTGTCTGGAACTGCCCCTACATATTTATCCAGTCTTCTTTCTCTGTAATAGCCTTCTCGCTCGCTCCGTTCGCAATATAAAAGTCTGCTTGTTGTTCCTAAAACAAGAACAGTGCAGTATGGAAACAGATCCTTTGTCTATGCAGCACCAGTGGCCTGGAACAAACTTCCACAGAATCTCAGGGACTGTACTGACGTTGTCACTTTCAAATCCCGGTTAAAGACACATATGTTCAGGATAGCCTTTTCAACTATAGCTCTGTAATTTGTTACTTTCTATCTACGCTTTGAGTAAGGACTGCATGCGCATTACAGATGTGTAACGATGATGATGATGATGATGATGCGAGAAATCTAAAAGATCTGTGTTCCCGCGTGAGGGGGCATCTTATTGTTGACTACCTGAGGGAAGTTGACCTGTATCATAAATTGTAGCTTTGTAATGTGAATAACAAACTGCTTGCTTTTGAATTTGGTGCTATGAAATTTTCTGTTTCTAAATAATAATGTAATATATATATATATATATATATATATATATATATATATATATATATATATATATATATATATATATGTATATGTGTGTGTGTGTATGTGTGTGTGTGTATGTGTGTGTGTGTGTGTGTGTGTGTGTGTGTGTGTGTGTGTGTGTGTGTGTGTGTGTGTTTAAAATAAAACTCATTAGGACCTTTTAGATTTAAAACGTTCATGAATGCAGACTTGATCTCGTCACAATACGGCTGGAATAATGCCGATGTGACCTAAAGCCCAACTCAACTATTACACTCTCAGTTTGTGGAATGCTAGTATAGTTCTGACCATGTCGCCCTTGTACATCTGGCTTCACGCTTCACTCTGTGTATTGTAATCACAACCAATCACAGTATACTTCAACGTACTTACTAATCACCACCTCATTGTACATCAAACTCACCATTGTATTAACTCATCCCTCTAATCACAACCAATCACAGTGTACTTCAACCTACTTACTAATCACCACCTCATTGTACATCAAACTCACCATTATATAAACTCAACCTCCAAACACAACCAATCACTCTGTACATCAACCTACTCTGCTCAAATCATTAATTAGATGTTCAATGTACATCGACCTTGTCAATTGTATATACTCACTATGCAGCTATGTATATATTGTCCATGTTTCAACTCTTTTTATCACTTGCTTAATAACGGTGTTAGTAACTACACCGAAACGCCACACTCACAGAGGTTGACTGTCCATAGAAGTCCACTTCTAAAATGTCTCTCAAAGAAGAAAATATTAAGAATGTTATATATCACTTCATGTTACCGATGCGATCGTTGTGAATATAAATTAAAGTAATTGTTGAAAGCAACATATTTACAAATTGTTAAAAATCTGTCAACGTACATTTATCATAGATTCAACAAGAGGAAATTGTGTGACTGTGCCCGCTTGTATTGCCTCTTCCTTCTGAATGTATAAACAATGCAGACACCCAGCACTAGCACAGCAGCAGCCAGGATCTTGATGCGATATGTCCCAGCTGTAAACACACCATCACCTCCACTCTGACAAGGTGGGGTGGCACAAAATAGTGGCGTACATTTGTTACCCCAGGTACACTGTTTGTTTTTCTTGTAGCAGCAGTCGACTGGGCAGTTGTCTGTAGTTTCTCCGACATCACACTTTCCGTTGTAGCAGGTGTCTGGCATTCCTGGCCCATCCCTTACTGCAAGGTTTAACCCATTCACTCGGTACCGCTTTTCGCAGAAGTCTGTGAGGCACTTAGTGAACACCCAGCATGTTCCTACAACATCCAGAGAAGGCCATGGGCTACATTTCTCAGCTACTCGGGCCTGTCCATCACATCCTCCACAACGGTAAGATTCATGTTGTTCACCATTCCCGCCGTCAAACACACCAGGTTTACAGTAGGATCCATTAGATGCTTTGTGATAGGTACGACCATCGCAATAGGGATAAGGACCTTCATCCAGGTTGTTACAGCAGGTGTAAAAGTGAACCTTAGAAATTCCACCCCACCAGAAGTTGGAGCACATTCCTTCATGTGGTTGATCTACAGGCCTTCTCGTGACACGAACATTGGGAGAAGTTGCGTGGACACTGGCCAGTGTCGTGAGAGCGAGGACCGCCATTATGACCATTGCTTGTTTGGGAGATAATAGCAATGTTCCTTTAATCTGAAAGGTAATAACGTTGTACAAGTTAATATCGATATACAGTAGTGTCGTACGGCTGGAGTAGCGATTTATTTGATAATACAGCAATAACATTTAGATTTAAGAATACAAAATGCCAGAAACTCCCCTGAATATTTCCAGTGTATACCATTTGTTCACAATGACAACCCTTTATGTTTAGGAACATTAATGGTGTATTAATGATCTCCGACATTTTAACGGATGTTTTATACAAACTGACAAACTTGTATGATCGTCATTATTTTGGCATTCGACTTCAGTATTATCCAGAAATGTGTAAGTAAGTATGGATTTACGCCTCTTTTAGCAATATTCCAGTGTGTGCCATTCCTTCAGAAGGGCATCCTGATATTTAGAACATCTGTAAGCTATTGCTGATCTCCAACAGGACCAAATCACATACATTTTAACGAATGTTTTATGGTGTGGACCTGCTAGCGAAATGACAAAAGTGTAAGATCGTCATCATTTCAAGATTCACCTTCAGCATTACGTTGACATTAAAGAGTATGGTTTTATGTCGCTTTTCGCAATATACCATCAGTATCACGACGGGATTCACAACTTAATTTGCAACCATGTAGGGAATCGAGTGAGTGAGTGAGTGAGTTTAGTTTGACGCCACACTCAGCAATATTCCAGCTATATGGCGGCGGTCTGTAAATAATCGAGGCTGGATCACACAATCCAGTGATCAACAGCATGAGCATCGATCTGCGCATTTGGGAACCGATGACATGTGTCAGCCTGCCTGACCATCCGATCCCGTTAGTCGAATCTTACAACAAGCATGGGTTACTGAAGATAAATATTCTAAGCCGAACCTTCACGGGAATCGGACCCGGGTATTCGGCATGACAGCTATCCATCGCCCATTTTGGAAATGGATCAAATGGTGAGCGCCTGGTGATTGAAGCAAAACTGCCTCCAGGGACGAAGGGATGTCATACACTAACGAAGTGGAAGTCATACACTGACGAAGAGATGTCATACACTGACGAAAGGATGCCATACACTGACGAAGGGAGGACATACACTGACGAAGGGATGTCATACACTGACGAAGGAGGCCCTACACTGACGAAGGGAGGCCATACACTGACGACGGGGGGACTGACAGGAGGCCCTACACTGACGAAGGGAGGCCATACACTGACGAAGGGAGGACATACACTGACGAAGGGAGGCCATACACTGACGAAGGGAGGCTACACTGACGAAAGGAGGACATACACTGACGAAGGGAGGCCATACACTGACGAAGGGAGGCCATACACTGACGAAGGGAGGCCATACACTGACGAAGGGAGGCCATACACTGACGAAGGGAGGCCATACACTGACGAAGGGAGGACATACACTGACGAAGGGAGGTCATACACTGACGAAGGGAGGACATACACTGACGATGGGAGGACATACACTGACGATGGGAGGACATACACTGACGATGGGAGGCCATACACTGACGAAGGGAGGTCATACACTGACGAAGGAGGTCATACGCTGACGAAGGAGGCCATACACTGACGAAAGGAGGTCATACACTGACTGAAAAGGATATACACTGACGAAGGGAGGACATACACTGACGAAGGAAGGCCATACACTGACAAAGGGATGTCATACAATGACGATGGAGGTCATACACTGACGAAGGGAGGACACACACTGACGAAGGGAGGTCATACACTGACGAAGGGATGCCATACACTGACGAAGGGAGGTCATACACTGACGAAGGTGGTCATGCACTGTCGAAGGGAGGTCATACACTGACGAAGGGTGGTCATACACTGTCGAAGGGAGGTCATTCACTGACGAAGGGAGGTCCTACACTGACGAAGGGGGACATACACTGACGAAGGAGGCCCTACACTGACGAAGGAGGTCCCTACACTGACGAAGGGAGGACATACACTGACGAAGGAGGCCCTACACTGACGAAGGGAGGCCCTACACTGACGAAGGGAGGACATACACTGACGAAGGGAGGTCATACACTGACGATGGGAGGACATACACTGACGATGGGAGGACATACACTGACGAAGGGAGGACATACACTGACGATGGGAGGCCATACACTGACGATGGGAGGACATACACTGACGATGGGAGGACATACACTGACGATGGGAGGACATACACTGACGATGGGAGGCCATACACTGACGAAGGGAGGTCATACACTGACTAAGGGAGGTCATACGCTGACGAAGGAGGCCCTACACTGACGAAAGGAGGTCATACACTGACAAAAAAGGATATACACTGACGAAGGGAGGACATACACTGACGAAGGAAGGTCATACACTGACGAAAGGATGCCATACGCACTGACGAAGGAGGCCATAAACTGACGAAGGGAGGTCATACACTGACGAAGGGAGGACATACACTGACGAAGGAGGCCATACACTGACAAAGGATGTCATACAATGACGATGGGAGGTCATACACTGGCGAAGGAGGACACACACACTGACGAAGGGAGGTCATACACTGACGAAGGGATGCCATACACTGTCGAAGGGAGGTCATACACTGACGAAGGGTGGTCATGCACTGTCGAAGGGAGGTCATACACTGACGAAGGGTGGTCATACACTGTCGAAGGGAGGTCATACACTGACGAAGGGTGGCCATGCACTGACGAAGGTAGGTAATTAACTGACGAAGGGAGGTCATACACTGACACAAAGATTTCATACACTTTCGTTCTTGTACATATTTGACTAAACAATTATGACATAACAGACTTCAGAACCCGAGTGTCTGATTTGGCACAATCGAACATAAAACCCTACACTGGTGTATTTTACAACCATCCACACAAGTTTAATATGTTCATCCTGTATGAAGCTACGACAGTCATCTGTATTATAACACAGTCTGACGTTTAAAAACTATAATACTTACATGTTTATGTGTGACGCTTCAACGGTGGAGTGGAGTTTGTGTTCATTTTACACGTCTCTCCAGATGACTGACGGCCGGGCCTTTAACCTATGTGTAGCATGATGTGACTTGTTTCGGCCGAGACAGACGGAAGTAACACATCAGCCCGGTGGAGTCATTCACTCGTTACGAACTCGTATCTGTAAAACGATCTCGTTTACGAGTTTGTTGGGCATTATTCTGTTTTGAAATGTCACATTTCAGGAGTTGCAGATCTCATTAAAATTTGACAACAAAATTTATTCAGCGCCAAGAGCTTAGCTGGTATGTTGTTAGGCTTACCTCACACGCTAACTGTACAGAAGGGTACACTGAACTGTGACTGGTTGACTGGGTGAGACTTAAGGCGCTCTGAGTTTTGTTTCCATCCTAGCAAGAGGAACTGAAACAAAAGCATGAATAAGTGTCAGAACTGTACAAAGATAATGAATGTCATTCACTGTATTGGTCCAAACATATCATGCGTGTCGTCAAACTGTGCTCTTCATCTCAGTAACTACATAAAGCAAATATATGCCATGATGGAAGAGGGCTTACCGAAACAACGACATTGGTCACACTTGTCTTAAATATGTCGACGTAGTAAGAAACTGACCCATTAAGCGGACTGTTAGTCGTTCATCTACCTTTAAAGGCAGGGCAGGCACACAATGAAGGGCAGGCAGACAGCGGGAAGAGCGCGGGCAGACCGGCAGAAGGCAAGCCATGGACAAGGATGGACAAACACTCAGCAGCCCATCCATCCCATCTGCTGTAAGTCTGACCTTGGCGCCTTCTCTGTGTGAATTTTTGTGTGAACTCTGTGTGAACTCTGTGAACTTTAAACTGTGTGAACTCTGTGTGACCTGTTCTCCCTGCCTCACATAGTTGCACCGCGTGAATAAGAACAACGACTTCTGATGTTTAAAGAGTGAGTGAGTGAGTGAGTGGGTTGTTTTACGCCGCAGCGCGTCTGACCACCCTGATCCCATTAGGCGCCTCTTACGAAGAGAAGATCAACTCTGATCCGGATCGTCACGGGTCTGATGTTTAAAGACTGACTGACTGACTGAGTTTGGTTTTACGCCGCTTTTAGCAATATTCCAGCAACATCACGGCGGGGACACCAGAAATGGGTGATGTTTAAAGAGTGCCAGAGGTGTTACATAAACGAGTGAAACAGGAGGGCAGAGGCCATGGGGTTCATGAATAAATACAAAGTGACTCGAACTCTGTCATAAGCATGGGTTTATATAAAATAGTGATTTCTAAGAAAAGACAATCTCTCTCCATGCTGTTACTCTCTTTAAGAATGACACGCATCGGCTTTCTTTAAGACAATATCCATATTTCAGTTTATCACATATTCTTGAAGACGCATGTGTTGGCGATTAGGTGCCTGACTCTGAGGGTGTGGGTTCGAATCCCGAATGGGACTCAACCCAAAAGTATTAGAATCTGTACTTTACTGAGAAAGTGTAATCCCAAATATAGCAGACGTTACAAGATATGGAGGCGTTCCAGTCAGTACCAGGGATTACCATCACGCGCTGTTATCATTGTTCTAAATCTCTTTCGGATACGTAAAGACACCAACAAACCAACCATCCAACATCTCCATGGGACCCGTGAAAACAACTTAAACCAACCAACCAACATGTCCTTGGAGGAGAATGAAGGAATTTACCGATGTCATATTAGAGGGAGCTCTAGCGTTAGGGACACCAGGTGGTATTAGTTTTAAGCATTTGGGAGACCAGATGGTATTTATATTCAAAACGAGGCATAAGGAAAGCCAGATAATATATGTGCATATATTTAAAAACAAGTATTAGTGGGGCTAGATGATACAAATATATTTAACAACAAGCAGTAGTGAGACCAGATTGTATACATATTTGAAAACAAGCATCAGGGAGACCACATTTTATATATGATTATTTAAAACAAGCATTACGCAGACTTTATCTTCATTTAGAAGGACGTTCAGAAGTGGAATACATAAGAAAAGCAAGATTTCAACTCCTTTATTGTAAACAGCATGACGTTTCGAGTATGTCCTTCTTCGTCATCAGGTAGGTAGCTACCATTCACCTGATAAAGGAGCATACACATTCTCGGAAACGTCGGGTTATTCACCATAAACAACTTGACGTCCACAATCATGCAAGCATGCTTTCTCTCAGATGGTATAGGGGCGGTCGGGTAGCTTAGTGGTTAAAGCGTCACGCCGAAGACCTGGGTTCGAATCCCCACAATGGTACAATGTGTCAAGCCCATTTCTGGTGTCCCCGCCGTGATGTTGCTGGAATATTGCTAGTCAGTCAGTCAGATGGTATATACATTTATAAACAAGCATTAGGGAGACCAGACCGCAATTTATAGATATCAAATAAATAAAGTAGTAGGGAGACTAGATGGTAAATAACGGAGATAGTTCAAGATGTTCGGAGTCAAAGATAGGCCATGACAAGCACACTTTGCTGTAAGTCAGGTGAGCTGAACCTAAAACACTTCGTAAGGTCCTTATGTGTTGTTGTTTTGTCATAGTTAGGTGTTTTAGTGAAATAATCGTACTGTATCAGGGTGGTAAATAGGTAAAGGCAACAAACTGATAAAATCAGAGAACCCCCAGAATAACACTCTGACACGCACACTTTGCTGTAAGTAAAACACCTCTTAAGGTCCTCATGTGTTGCTGTTTTGTCATAGTTAGGTGTTTTAGTGAAATAATCATACTGTATCAGGGTGGTAAATAGGTGAAGGCAACAAAGTGATAAAATCAGAGAACTTCCTACCCCTATACATGTACTGGAGCAGAATGACACTCTGTACAACAAAACCTAGAAGCCTCACCTGACAAGCATAACCTCTTCAACACCAAGGTTAGGTCAAATGGGGTTTAACGTCGCATTTACCAATATTTCGCTCATATGACGACGTGCATGTGTGTGTACGTGTGGCTGCTTGTACTAGCCCAGAATGAGGCTGGTTTTATAGTGCTAGCCAATTGAGATATCATGCCGCAGTGAAGCATGAATACCCAGCTTAGACACCATTATACTGACTCCGAGCCGACCAGTCCTTGTATTCATTAATGCCGAGCGACAGGCAGGGACCAACAAGTACCATATTTTAACGTATGGTATGACGCGGCAGGGGATCGAACCCGCGACCTTCCGCTCTCCGGGCGGACGCTCTTACCACTACACCACGGACACGGCCTCAACGCCAAGTAAATGTTTAGAGGACTGTTATAATCGAAAATGAGAATAAAACATAGTATTAATTGTGTAAAACACCCAGTTAGAACAGTCAAACAGGGATTTATTACCCAAGCCCAGGACAACAGCAACCCTCTCTTGGCAAGCTTACTTAAAACTTTAAATAAGGGCAACAATGTTTGTACATACCAAGTGAGCGAGTGAGTGAGTGAGTTTAGTTTTACGCCGCACTCAGTAATATTCCTGCTATATGGCGGCGGTCTGGAAATAATCGAGTCTGGACCACACAATCCAGTGATCAACTGCATGAGCATCGACCTACGCAATTAGGATACGATTGCATGTGTCAACGAAGTCAGCAAGCCTGACCACCCGATCCCATTAGTCGCCTATTACGACAAGCATGGGATACTGAAGATCAGTTCTAACCCGGATGTTCACGGGTAACATACCAAGTGAGTGAGTTAAATTTTAGTGAGTGAGTTCAGTTTTACGCCGCACTCAGCAATATTCCAGCTATATGGCGGCGGTCTATAAATAATCGATTCTGTACCAGATAATCCAGTGATCAACAGCATGAGCATCGATCTGCGCAATTTGTAAATTATGATATCAATTAATTAACTCTTAGTCATTATGGGTTAAAAAAGTTTAAAGCGCTGAGTGTGGATTTGAACTCGCATGTTGAACTTAGGCTATGTAATTTAACCTGTTAGAAGTAAGTTACTCAACTAATACTGTGTCATCCTCGGAAGAGACATATCAGCAGTTAAGACATTAGAATTGTGTTAACTTTATTCTCCTCAACAATCAAGTATGCTGACAACGGGTGAACGACTGCAACATAACATGAATATTTAGTCATTACATTGACAGCACGTACATCTTTAACGTGGACAAAATATAGCCATTTTAGGAACGCTTCAGTAAATATACTTTGAATAAGTGAAATGTTTACTGAATAAGCTGACAAACCTTATTTCAATTATATATCCTCGTTACATACACCTTTGTTGTTTGTTTACACCATAAATCAATAAATTATGGCTACAAACATATCACATTCACATGTACATGCAGCAAACCGAACATCATTTCATGACTGAATATTCAGCTGAGTCACAGGTGGAGCACAGAAAACGACTGTTTTGATGGAAATATCACGTAATTATACCTTTATACATAGTTAAGCATCAGTGATAACTTGACTTGGCTCTTATACTCACTCTATGGTCGGCGTAAGTTTGGCCTAATTTAAGTGTGTAGAAAGGAAATTTTCTCCCGCTACATCCCCGAGACCATGCGGAAGCCTACCTGATATTTCTATCTCCTGAGTAGGAGAGTTCCAACAGATAACACTGAAGAAATGAATCGTACGTAAAATCTCAATCTGAGACGACTAAATCAAATGTACCTAGACAAACACTTCCCCAGGAATCGAAACGTGTTTAACACACGAATAGGTTGTCTTCGCATTTATCTCACGGAACAGATACAGATACAGGCGGATTCTCACACTCTCACACAGAGAGTGTAATACATGTAGTTGAGTTGGGCTTTAGGTCACATCGGCATTATTCCAAGTCTGCATTCATGAACGTTCTAAGGTCCAAATGAGTTTTATTTTAAATAAACACACACACACACACACACACACACACACACACACACACACACACACACACACACACACACACACACACACACACACACACACACACACACACACACACACACACACACACACACACACACACACACACACACACACACACACACCTCTTTGTCCTGAAAGTTTTTTAAACGACCATTGAAACTCTCGTGAAAGTGTCGTGTGAACCACCGCCTTTCTCAAAAACTGTATCCGCCCCTGCTTTGTGAGGTTGTACACGCTGACTATCCAAACAGCAGCTTTCAGTTTAAATGTTATTGTTTCTGTTTGCTGCACGTACTATCAGCACTTGATAAGTTGCGGGCGGGTCAGAGCTCCTTCCGCGTGCACTGTCATAGTCGAAGCATGTTCTAGATCACTGTCTAAGCGTTAACCACTGGGGTGGTCTGTCACTGTAGCGAGAATACACAAAGACATGCTTGTTAGACTAGATCACTGTCTAAGCGTTAACCACTGAGGTGGTCTGTCACTGTAGCGAGAATACACAAAGACATGCTTGTCGGACTAGATCACTGTCTAAGCGTTAACCACTGGGGTGGTCTGTCACTGTAGCGAGACTACACAAAGACATGCTTGTCGGACTAGATCACTGTCTAAATGTTGACAACTGGTTCACTGATTAAGATGTGTTTGTGTGTAGAGATATCGAACTACTTGCTTTATTATCACTTTATCCGCTTTTACATGTAAGCGTTAGAGTTACCGCCCTTGTAAATTGTTCACACGGAACCTCCTTGACATAGAAAAACACATGTCCGGCTCGGAAGAACGTGTTGTGTGTAATGGCTTGGGAATCAAGCTACAAAGGTCACCAAACACAGTATTTGTATGTTAAGGGGCGTGTAAGCATTTCCAACCTGTAAACTCAATAATTCTATGGGGAATATTTTTATACTGTAATAGCCATCAAAGTGTCTTGTGGAGGTCACGATAACACAGGCTAGGGTGTGAGAACTGTTTATTTGCTGATGACAAACTGATGACAAACTGATGACAAACTGACGACAAACTGACACCCTGTAACAAGGAATGAGATAATAAGAATACATTTCATCTCACAATCTGACATATAAAGGCAACAATTCTACATAATCATAAGTGATACAGACATCTCTACTTTATATAATCTTGACATATTGCGGTCGTTGAAGTTACACATGCAATACGGATATGGCATGACATGCATGATGTTATATTCAATTAATTATACTATACAAATATATATAAACATATGTACCCTGTGATTCCCACGGGGGTGTTGTTGTCCGTATTCAAGATAATCTTGTATGAACCTGTTCATGATATAAAGCATACCATGAGTACTAATCTATTTACACACCTAAATATTTCATCTAAACTATTATCAATTCAGTAATAAACAATACAAATTACTGCCAGATAACCAAAACCACGCATACAATCAGATATGGTATTTCTTATATACATACACTCAACATACACACACACACACACAAAGTATATGTGACATTTTTAACACAGCATTAATCTGATATAGATATGTTTACATGAAGTGATTTATACATTACAATGGCATTAAAAGAACATAATAGTAACTAACCCTTTTAATTTCTGGTCCTGTGTCTCTCCAAGTGTCCAAGTGCAAGTTGTAAGTGCCAGTGACAAGAATGCATATGTGGAAAACAAAGGGTTTGAAAGTGGGACACCTAATTCAAAATTAGCCAATCATTAAAATACCTGGGCTTATACTTTGATTGCTAGCTGATCTACCCGACACTGAAGTGGACTTACCCAATGAAAGTACTTAACAAAAGAAATGAGCTTTTAATGATACTAGTTTATTTGCAACTGCTTAAATATCTTATGCAGCCTGAAATAAGAGATTTGATTATTCATAAATCAGTGAAGATGACTGGTTCATATATCTGAAATTAATACAATAAATAGTTATTAATTACTGTATTGCCTGAAATATACAAATGACATTATTTTAAACATGTTAAAGTAAAACAGCAAAATGATAAAACATAATCACTATGTACAGACTTAAACTCTACCACATACTTCCCCCTCGGGACTAAATGATGTCCTCATCATTTGCCGGAGATCAGGTGGAGAAGGGTGTCTTGAGCAGAATCATTTGTGAGAATCCCACTTAGCATCAATGATGTGAGGTACTCTGCCCTGGACTTCCAATCAGGTTTTGGTACAGCTGCTGACATCACATACTCATCACTGGTCATCCACTGTGGTCTACTCCTGGAGCGATTGGATCTCCTAGGACAAGGTACCGGTGGTGTTACCGATCTTTCTTGAGGTACACTAACATCTTGTGCTACAGGTTCTGAAGTTAAATCCAAAGCTTCAGATGTTGCTTCCTCCTGTAGTGTCGGAGCTGTATCAGATTCACTGTTGGGATCATCAAGTACCGAAGTAGTTTCCACATCCTGATGTAGATCAGGAGCAACTTCCTCAGACTGGTCCTCTCCATCTTCATCATCCACAGCAGCACTATCTATGTCTGCTTCTGCCTCAGCTGGCCAATCAACTACATCTGCAGCTGAAACTGACGGCTCGGATGAAGAAATGGGGACGAGTTCAAAGTCTTCATCTTCACTCTCTGTGGTACTTGGATTAATACTGGGCAATACTGTCTGTCTCGTAGTGGGTTGTAGACGTGGACTGTACCTCCTTTTCCGTGGCTTGGGTACTGGAACAGGTGTTTCTGGCCTAGGAAGAGAACCAATTGGCAATAACAGATTCCTATGCAGAGTTTTCTTCCTGCCCTCTCCGTTTTCTTGTTCCACAATATATACTGGTATGGTAGGGTTTGGCTGGCTTGTGACAATGTAAATGTTATCTTCCCACTTGTCGGCTAGTTTGTGACGACCATCATAGGCTACCACTTTAACAAGTACACGATCACCTACATCTAATACAGCTGCTCTAGCTCTCAAATCATAGAAGGACTTCTGCTGAGATTGAGACTGGCTGGCTTGTCTAGTGGCTATCTCATAAGCATTGCGCAGCTTTCCCTGGAGGGTCTTGGTGTACTTGAGCATTGATGTTGAGGTGACAGGCTCCATGTCGAGTCCAAATGCCAAATCAATAGGAAGTCTAGGGTGACGACCAAACATTAGATAGAAAGGAGAGTATCCAGTTGTTTCATGTCGTGTGCAGTTGTACGCATGCACTAATGGTGCAACATGGGTTTTCCAGTCTTTCTTGGCCTCAGGTTCAAGTGTGCCCAGCATGTTGCATAATGTCCTATTGAACCTTTCACACATCCCATTACCCATAGGATGGTAAGGGGTTGTGGAGGATTTGTCGATCTTCAGGATCTGGCAGAGTTCAGTCATTACTTTGCCAACAAAATTGGCTCCCTTGTCCGAATGAATCCTTTTGGGCAAACCATAGTGAACCACAAAATTGTTGAAGAATAACTCTGCTGTGGTTCTTGCAGAAGTGTTCTTTGATGGGTATGCCTGTGCATAATGAGTAAAATGATCAGTTACCACAAGAACATATTGCTGACCACCTGTGGAGGGTTCTAGTGCCAAGAAATCCATACATACTAGTTCGAGTGGCTGAGATGTTGTGATGCTAACTAGAGGTGCACGAACTGAAGTAGAGGACTTGCGTTTCATACATCTGCCACAAGATTCTATGTGAACTTCAACATCCTTGTTCATACCAGGCCAGTAAAATCTTTCCTTGAGTAGTGAAAGCGTCCTGTCTCTGCCTGGGTGTCCAACATTTTTGTGAAGACTCCTTAAAGCTGCAGCTCGACACCTTGAAGGGAGAACAAGTCGCTTCTGTTCAACTCCATCTTGTTTGACAACACGGTAGAGAACACTCTTATGGATTCTGAAGTGGTCGAAGTTCTTCAACAATATTGTCATCTCCGAGTTCCCTATATATAACTTTCTGTCTGGCTTGATCCGGTTCTCCAATCCCTCTATGATAGTTGCAAGGCAAGGGTCTCTGGCCTGTGCATGGCTCCAATCCTTGGCATTCATGTTACACTGCTCTTCGTCAATGTTGATTTCCTTCTCCTGTATTACATCCGTGGACATACAAAGACTTTCTACCATGCTGTTTACATTGATCATTCCACAGATAGCACGTATAGAATCTGCTGTAATTTGATCCACCTCTGTGTTGTCTCCTTTTGCAGGTAACCGTGACAAAGTGTCAGCATCCACATTCTCCTTTCCGGGTCTGTATTTGATACTAAAGTTGTAGCTGGCCAAGGCTGCCAGCCAGCGATGTCCTGTAGCATCAAGCCGAGCTGTAGTTAGTACATATGTCAGCGGATTATTATCGGTCACTACAACAAAATCATTACCATACAGGTAGTCGTGGAACTTATCAGAGATAGCCCACTTCAGACACAAAACTCAAGTTTGTGCGCTGAATAGTTCCTCTCTGAACGGTTCAACCCCCTACTTGCATAAGCAATGACCTTCAAATGACCTTCCTGTTCCTGGTATAGAACCGCACCGAGACCTTGGGTACTAGCGTCAGTATGAAGTTCGAAAGGCTTGGAGAAATCAGCGTAACCAAGTACTGGTGGTGTTGATAATCTCATCTTTAATTCATTGAAAGCTCTGTCCTGCAATTGTCCCCATGTCCAGTCCTTTTTGGCAAGCTTTTGGACTCTTGATTTCTT